AGGGAAAATAGAGCATTTATTAGAGGAGTATTCCTGAAGTTCAAGATGAAGTTTTTCTCCATTTAATATTGTATTTTAGGAGTGTTATGTCTTGTAAATCCTCTGTTAATACTTATACAAATTTATTAACCATAACTACCATATAGGGATTTCCATCCCCAGACCTGCTATAAAAATGTGAAATTTTGATTGACCAAGTATTGTATTTACTTGATTTGAAAAAATGTCCAAGGTTTTTTGGTACAATATTAAATTTGCAGCATGCTAATGTTATGCAGATTTTTAGGGCAAGTAGTTATTGCTGTAATGGGGCGAATCTTTCGACAAAATGTGAGATGTGATTAAATTATTAGTAAGCCAATAAGTTCAAATCTTATTAATATCAGAACTAGTAACAAAATTATGTGGTTTACTAGATAAATTAGGCCTTTAATTATGTATTGTAGAGAGTCATATTAATAATATATTGTCTTGACGCAGTAAAAAATCAGACACATTTTTATTCCTTATAAACATCGTCACAAATGTTTAGTAATTGTGATTAATTAAAGGAACTCACCTTGCAACTTCTACAAGTATCCAGTGTCTTTGTTGTGCTTGGATGCATTGCTGCAGTCTCTGCAGGGAATACTTCTGTAATCTGATGTAGTTGAGTTGAAGTCAAGATAAAGAATAATAAGGAAACGTCTGATGTCAGGAAAATTAAATAAATCGTGTTCTTATGCACCAGTTTATACAAGGTCAAAATATCAGTATTTCAAAATGCCATGATTATTGGACTTTATTTTATTAAGAGGAAATTTAAGGGACTCCCTAGCCAGATTGGTTGAGGGGGAGAGGTCAGACTAAGACAGGTACCCTGGTCCTCCAAGTTGGGGGTTGGTTGCAAGGCTAACAACCTTGCACCGTAAAAAGGAAGATGTTTCGAAACCTCAGTCAAAGCCTCGGACAGACGGACCTAACAGAGGACCGTTTGGAAGAGGAGAATTGAGGAGGCCATGGACCGAACACGGACCAGAGAGCCATAGAAGAAGATATCACATGCCTGTAATGTTTATGAAATAAATGTTTATATTTTCATACCCATATTGAAGTCCCTGGACAGCAAAGTTCAAACTTTCACACTGGAGTAAAAACAATATGACTGGTGATAGGGTAAAGGAGTGTGCTGTGATATGAATGAGGTCAGTTTATTCCGAGCATTCAGTCAGTACCTGTTGCCGTGATGGGGATTTTATTTGAGGAAACACAACTTAAGAGCAGTAGTCCTAAAATGCCCAGAATATCAGAGTTAAGTTCAAATGTAAAAGAGGAGAGTAAACGCATAGCAGGGTAAAGAATGGCATTGTGTTGGTGTTTGTCTACAATGACCATCTTGAGTCATCTTCCTCCTATACTGTCTGCATGAAGGTATTTTTGCCTGATTGTTCATTTGTAGGTGGTGGTAGGTAGTTTCTGTACTATTGTCCTTCCTGGAGGAGTTGCTGTTAATTCTTAGCTTCCAAAATTGCATTACTTCTGACATGCCATGTCTGATATACACTGTACAAACAAAACACAATAAGGTATTCAGTTGTTATGTAGACCTCTAAATATGTTGTTATTTTCTGGCTTGATTCTGGATTTATTTCGTATATTCTGGTATGTCAGTGCTCAGTCTCGCTGTCTGTGCTCATATCCTGCAATGTGTCCCTTATCATCAGGTTTTCCAGCTAAAATTTTGTATGAGTTATCATCTCATGCATGCTAAATGTCCTGTCCGTCTTGTGTTCCTTTTCCTTGATCTGCTCACCGTAATAAGGTTTAGTAAAGAGTACAAATTATGATGTTTCTCAATGTGTAATTTTATTCATCCTGTTATTTTATCTTTCTTACCTCAAAATATTCTCTTTAATAACTTGTTCTTGTAAGACTTGAGGTTCTCACAGTGGTGAGTATGAAGATTTCTGTCTTCTGGGTTGTTGCGCTGTGTAGTCTGGTCGACATTAACCAACGTTTCAGAGGTCATACTACCTCCGTCATCGGGGCGATGAATACAACCCAGAAGACGGAAATCTTCAACTTGTTCTTGAACACTCTCAGTCACTGTTGATTATATGTCATACCCTTGTACCATAAAACAACAGGTAAATTTCTTAAGCTATGTGGTCAGAGCTACTGACACCATTGCTGTATGCACCACAAATAAAAAAAGTGTAAAATTGTGTGTACTCTTGGTTTTATTAATATACTGTAGTGATTGTTACAGCATAAAAAGTGTTTGGTAAATTTGCTTGAATACTCACTTGTTTGTACATTGGCAGCTCTCATGCAGATTTTCGAGTTTGTGCCAGGTTTCATATTGGCTGTAGTTGATGTGACCCAACTTACACATGTTTTATTCTTCTCCGAGCTCTTGTCTTTGCTCTCCATTTCTGTAATGAGGCTACTGCTCTGTCAATTTCATGTTCAGTTGTCAAGGCTTCGTGGGTATGGTCAAGCTCGTATTGTGTTAAAGAGGATCAGTGGAATCTTGGAGATATTACTTCAGGATAAAGCATCAGCTTAGCTCTTTGTAACAACATCAACTTTGGTGTTCATTTCCATCTGAAGTTCCTCTTGCCATCTTCCCTTGGGCCCAGAGTTGCTTATTCCAAGTCTTGTATAAATATCAACAAAAAACTGGTGAGCTATAGTTGTCTTATTGATGAATTAGATGCACTGTAAAAAGATTAAGTTACATCATGGCAATTCTTTTAGGTGCGGATATATTTAAAATGTGGTTGTTTCAGATTCATTTTTGCCGTGAACTCTTCATCTGGTTAGTTCGCTGCTGGATGTTTGTATGGGACAAGACTTGAGTGAGAAATTTGGTTTGTTTGTTGTAGGCATACATGGTGGATTACTATGTATATAGTTCACGAGCAGTGGAGAATGACCCTCCGTGCCACATTGGGTCCAGTTATATCTTGCCCAGCATGATGACTTCCAGTGAGGGACAGGCTATTGTTCCTATCACCAGCAGCAGTCATCGTCCTATTGGTCAACTGCGATGTGAGTGTTACATCTTCCTTTCTTTCATTTTATATATACAGTCAAACTTCGGTTCACAAACTTAATTCGTTCCTGAAGGTCGTTCGTAAACCGAAATGTTCATAAACCGAAACTATTTTCCCCATAGGAATTAATGTAAAATGGATTAATCCGTTCCTGGATCCCAGATGATTGCTTATTTAAAATTTTACAACAGTACTTTGTGCACAAGTTCTTAACACAGAATCAATGGAAACCATTAAGTCTATCACAAAAAAGATAAACACAACACTAAGCAGATCAAATATAGACAAAAACTTAATTTAGTTTTACCGTACCTGTATGGAGGAGAGTTGACGGCGTGAAATGTTAGTGTTTGGAAGGGGATTCTTTTTCTTTTTTCTGTCTCTTGGCACCACTCGACTCTGCATCAGACTCACCGGGCCTCTGTCTCACTAAAAGTTGTCCAGTGTGATTTGTTTTTGTCTACGTTTTAAAATGTTTCTAAAGTGACACATGGCATTATCATTGAAAATGTTTTATGCTGCGGCTTGCTACTGCTTTATCGGGGTGATATCGTTCCACGAAACTTTGCACCTCACCAAATTTTGCACAAATTTAACGGATCAAAGAAATAGCAAGATCAGAGACAGGAACACCATTTTCATGTTTGGCTATGATTTCTTTCTTAACATCTAACATGATATTGGTATTTTTTCTTTTCACTTTGCTGCAAAGATTGTCTTTCTTTGGCCCCATGCTGGATCATTCTTCTACGAATACTGCCGACGCTGATACTCCCAGCTTATTGCTCCACGATGTTGACGGCTTGCGTGTTCGTAACTCGAGACAGTACGTCATCCGAGACGCTTTGTGTTTGGAAAATTTGTTTGTAAACTGAATTGTTCGTGAACCGAGGTTTGACTGTGTTTGGTCTTTACAAAATAAGATATGAATATAACTTTACATATCCAGTCATATCATGTTTAATAGTGTATTGAGTGACATTATTTGCAGATATTAACCCTTCAGGCTGGTATTGAAATATCTAAGCTAATAATCTGACAGTATTTGGCAGTAAATGACCTATTGGTAAGAAATTTGCGACATGCAAATTATAAATGTTTTCCCACATCCAATCACTCTGCAGTCTTGGAAATTCTAATAGTAAATATCACTCTAAATCAGTGGTCCCCCAACCTTTTTGTGCCTATGGGCACGTTTGAGAGTTTATGAGATCGTGGTGGGCACCAACCAATTAACAAAGCCAAAATTTTCTTTTCTCTGGACAAATAAGATATGGACACCAAATAATACACAAAACAACACGACGTTTAATGATACAAGAAACCGTGCAATCAAAAATACGTAGTTTTATAAGTACAATTATTATTACTCAAGTGGGAAGTTAGTGTGATGTTTGGCACTGTATTTCATCGGCCAGTTTTTCAAATTTGGGAGTGTAGGATGATGTTGCTGCTCACAAACAATTGTCAAGATGTGCTTTGATTTTATAATGTTCATGGTTGAACGGCCTTCATTATTCAGTATAACCTCTTTCTGTAACAACACGGACACCCAAAAAGAGCCTTGGCGGGTGCCATGGTGCCCGCGGGCACCACGTTGGGGACCACTGCTCTAAATCATCTGCATCGCTGTCAATATTTGCTTCATTTTTGTCACTGTCTGATGGATTTTCAACTGCAAGGTTCTTTTCATCTTAATCACTATCTGATTCACTCCCACTGTCACAAATTATAATATTTCTGTGAACAGGATCCTGTAAATCATCTATTTTTTTATAAATTCAGACTGTGCTAAAATACACCATGTTGCTTATTGGTTGATACAATGTCGATGTCAAAAAATACAAAGGAAATAACTTGGTTGCATTCATATGTATTAATGAATAGATGGAAGAAATAGGAAATACAATGTTTCAGGGTCTTGTGGTCCAAATAGTATGACAAAAATCTGACAGATTGTGCAGCAGTGATGATTTGCCTTGCTGCCTGCAAGCGGCAAGTACGTACTTAGAATACTGCTGATAAAGGAAGCTTCTAGCTGTGATTGTGTTCTTGGGCTAATGGCTTGAAGGGTTAAATTTCTATTGTGGGGTCATAAATAAGAGTGCAGTAAACTTTGTTTGCAGTTGACTACTTGGTGGTGCACCCCATCAGTGGATATGAGTGTGATATGAGTGTGTCGTATAGCCGCATATGGAAGAAGACATGGCATGGGCTGGATGTTGGACATCGTGGTCTTGGAACATCGTTTAAGCTTGAAGTTTCAGAGTAAGTACTGGTAACTTTCATCTCCAGTGAAATTATATTAATCTGTAGAAGGATAAGAAATGTGAAGAAAAAATCAGTGTGGTTGGTATGTTCTAGTTTTTGTCCACACGCTCAAGTCTGTCATCCTACATGTTTGAATCCAAAATGACATTCCAATTTCTTCCTCTCTTATTTAATCTACGCAGTTGTCTCTTTGTGCTTATATTAAATTCTGGTACTCTTTTAGGAATTCTTTGGTTTCTATAATTTGAATTTTTCCCAACCATATACATTATTACTCCAAGACATAAAAGATCACTGTTAATATTTGTCTCATTAGAATTGCATGTAGAAATAGTGTCTGTATAACTCCCATTAGTTTATTCATACACACCATGTAATACATCAGAGCATCTTAGAATTGTGCTAAGAATGCAAAGGATTATTGAGCACTTTATGTGCGCAGAGTTCTTTCTTGTTTTTATTCTTACATTAAGTGGAATAGTTTCTTTATACTTATGTTCATATTCAGTTTATACTAACTTTGGGATTCTTACGTTGTTAGCCATTCTTTCCATATTTGAATCAGTCCTGAAGTTGAAGATGGCTGTCTTCTGGGTTTTTCTGCCATGTAGTCAGTAGAAGTTTACTGACGTATCAGAAGCAGCAAACATTGTAAAATGTCAGTTAACTTCTGCCAGACTACACAGCGCAATAACCCAGAAGACAGCCATTTTTATACTCACATCCATGAGAACCTGAAATCTAACTTAGTTGTGAAGTTGCTGGATATCCAGATTATTTATCATCTTCTACATTGTATCCTCATTCTTGAAATATTAAAAAGAACTGTGCGTTGCATCTTCTTAAATATTTTGTGGAATTTTTAAAATGTCTGTGACATTTTGCACCAGTTTAACTAAAAATGTAATGTTTACTTCCTTTAGAAATCGTCTGTTATTTAATAAATGAACATCAATAAAAGACTTAATGATACCATATACAAAACAAAATCCAGTTATTATGGAATGTGCTACTTCAGTCTCGTTACTTTATTTCCAGACCTTATATATCATACAACACTATGTTTGTATGTTGAAGGTGTGCTGATGTCCGTGAAAATACTATAGCATCACTGAAGGATGCAGGATCAGCAGGGGCTGATCTTGTGGAATTTGATGTTCAGCTATCGAAGGACCTGGTACCAGTCTTGTATCACGACTTTCATGTGTGCATTGCGATGAAACGCAAAAAGCAGTTGGCAGAACATGACATGCTGGAGTTACCAGTGAAAGATCTTACATTGGAACAATTACAGCATCTAAAGGTATTGCATCACTTAATCCTATTTTACTTCTTGTTTGCTATGAATTTGTAGGTAAAATTTGAACAATAATAGCTTATTAGTACCTTCATTGTAATAGTTATCTGCATTTTATAGAATGTTACATTTTGAATGTTTTGGGAGTTTTTAAGTCATTGTGTGAGACTATTTTGTTACCATATATTAGATAAATTTAATTTTTAGTGATTCAGGTTTGATGAGAAATGCTTATGAAATTTTATGCACAAATCCAGAAGGGTACAGAACTCTCAGAAGACATACACATGACTGATGAATAATCAAACACGGCAGTACGGTGCCAAAACATGTTGAAAATCTAGTCCACACAGATTTAATGGAAAAAAAAGTCATGCACAGAATTGTTCACAAATTAACTTCACAGCAGATAATCTGCACGTGGATAATTAGAGTTTACTGTATCTGATTTGCTGGTAATGGACAAATATTTAATTTTTGTGAATAATGATAAAAGTTGCTTATATAACATGCTGCTGTATACAGCCATCAGAGGGCCCTGCTTTTATGCTATGTAGATTTTTAGAAATGTGTTTTGTGTGTTTTTATTTTGATCGCTCTTTATAAGGCAGCTAGCCAGAATGTCACAGAGTGCTTTATGTGGAGTACCTGCCTTCTCCTTTAGGATTAGGAAAGTATACTCTTTCTTGCTCTTAAATTATTTTATATTTATAAATGTTTATAAAAATAGGACTCATGTGAATTCAATGTTTAGATTAAAATTAGTCTGCCAGCTGTTTACTAACATTTTTTTCTGATTGATAACACTTGGAGCAGTGTGATATTAGCTGTTGAAGTTGCTGAGTTTTTGTTTTGCTTTGGTATTAATATTATCTTCATTAGCATGCCAAGTGCTTGAGGTGATGTACAGTACAATTATTAATTCCTGCAGGGCATTTCAGCCAATGGTGAGTTGAGCAAAGTTCTGCATTTTTGCGACTCTGACTCTGCGACGGTGTTGTGTTGTGGGGTAAGCAGTGGATGTAGCATGATTTTGCATAGACACTGCTCTGAAATATATCATCCTTTTCTGTATTTGATCTTAAGACATTTGCAGGCAGGACTAAGAAGTTTTTATGTTTTAATGTTTGTGTTTTGTCTTTCCGGAGATTTGTTTTCAAAAAGATTTGTGTGGGATAAAAGTTTATAGTTCATTTATGTGAAAACTTCTTATGTCTTTGTTTTCTCTTCACTAATATGACCTGTTATCGGTTCATGATCAATACATGAACCAGAGTATTTTAGAACATGGAGTTTTAGCTTATTAAGTCTGTATTCTGTTGTACAGATTTCTCCTGTTAAATCACTGCACTGTAGAGCAGTGGTCCCCAACACGGTGCCCGCGGGCACCATGGCACCCGCCAAGGCTTTTTTTGGGTGCCCGCGTTGTTACAGAAAGAGGTTATACTGAATAATGAAGGCCGTTCAACCATGAACATTATAAAATCAAAGCACAGATCTCAACTTACTGATGCCCATCTTGACGATTGTTTGCGAGCAGCAACATCATCCTACACTCCCAAATTTAAAAAACTGGCCGATGGAATGCAGTGCCAAACATCACACTAACTTCCCACTTGAGTAATAATAATTGTACTTATAAAACTACGTATTTTTGATTGCGTGGTTTCTTTTATTATTAAATGTCGTGTTGTTTTGTGTATTATTTGGTGTCCATATCTTATAGAGAAAAGAAAATTTGGCTTTGTTAATTGGTTGGTGCCTGCCACGATCTCATAAACTCTCAAATGTGCTCGTAGGCACAAAAAGTTTGGAGACCACTGCTGTAGGGAGCCCATTTTGCTTTAGTAAGTTGCTTTTGTTATTCAGCATGCATTAGGTGTTTATTCCACCATCAGAATAGCCACATGCTACATAATCTCAGATAAGTATGGAAATTTTTATAACTTGCCCACGTTGAAGACCTAAATATGTATAGGTACAATGATAATATTAATATGGATCTTCAGGAAATGAGCATGAGGTATAGACTAGATAAATCTTTAAGTATAGCGTCCTGTGGTGGGCTGTTGTCAGCATAGTAATAGACCTTCAGGTTTTATAAAAGGCAGGAGTTTCTTTAGCCGAGTGACTGTTAACTTTTCAAGAAGGACTCTGTTCCATGAAGTTGGTTACATATCAGTGTATGGAACTGCTATTAGTTCTGAGGACACTGCAAATTTTATAAAGTAGAAGTAAATTAAAAGATATTTCACTTTTGAGTTATTTATTAACACAAGCAGTATTTCTCTTTGCCTGCTATTGTGTGAATAATTAAATCAATAGAATGGGTGGATGAAAAGTGTGTACAAAATCTGGTCAGAGATCCTCAAAGAAAGTCGCTACTTATGAGATAAAAAAGGTGAAATTGTTCATGGTGCTCATATGTAGGTTATGAGCTAGTCATTAATATTTGTGGGACTCTTGATTACTAAATGCTGTATCACTTGATATTAACTGATTGAAACAAGTGACCATTGTATCCTGTTGTGTATTATTTTCTGTAAGTGGTGAAATCTCTTTCTGTTTTGGTAATAAACATACTCAGTTACTTATGAGTTAGCCTTATGGCACACATTGCAAACCTAATTTGATTTTCACTGCTCATGACACATACTTACTGTTTGTTTATTCTTTCAAAAGCAGCTTAATAACGCATGGTAATGCATGTGTAAATGCAAGGGCGGGCCATGAATTTGGGTTTTTTTTTTTGTAAAAGCTTGAAGTCATGTCTGTTAATGAAATGTAGTTACTAGAAAGTAATTTCCTGATTGAGCACAATGATTACAGTGGTCTCAAGCACTTTTGATATCATACACTTCTTTTAGGTTATTGGTCTGTGGTGCACCTCTACCTTATGAAACTGATCCATACATTTGTCATAGTATGTTGAATGTTTAGTCAAGTAATGATACTGTACATTATATTATTTCATAATTTTTTTTTATGAAAATCAGGACAGAAATGATCCTCATTTTATAGCACATACAAATAGTTAAAAATTTAAATCCGTGGCATAACAGCTCCAGAGAGCTAAAGCCGACTAGCTTGACTGCTGGCCTCACGTTCACATGCCTAAGCAGAGGTGAACGATCATCCAACCAGATATAGGGTGACGTGTGGTCAGCACGACGAACCCCCAGCCATTGCTTTACACTTTGCAAAGTACATGCAGCCCATGGGCTGGACTTTGCATGGGCTTGCTGTTGTGCATTATTGATGTTGATTAAAATCAGTCCTGGAATTCTAAGATCTGCCTTCTTGTATTGACATCAGAATGCCCATCAGCCAGCATTTGGCAGAAAATGTTACTAATCTTGATTGCTATCACCAGGTATATCATTTGGCAGAAGGGAAAGACAAGAACCAGCGCTTCTTTGATGAAGAACTGGAGGAGCATCAACCATTCCCCACCCTTCATCAGGCATTGGACTCCCTTGACCCTCACGTGGGATTCAATATTGAGATTAAATGGACCTTATATTGTAACACGTTTTTAGCATATTATTTTTTGTTTGTTAGTAAAGACAGAAGTTACCATTTCTGGGTTGATTTCTGTAAAGAAAATGTTTGACAGTGATCCTTATCCTTTGAGAGACTTATTTCTATGATCTTACACAGAAACAGTTGCCATTATGTGATCATAAATGTTGCAGACTAGGTTTTTTAGTGTTATATCTTATTTTCAGGATGGTACATATGAGCTGAACCACCCATTTGACCTGAACATTTATCTGGATACCGTCCTTAAAGTGGTTCTCGATTCTGCAGGGAGCCGTAAGATCGTCTTCTCATGCTTTCATCCAGACATCTGCACCATGTTAGTTGTTAGCTGCGATCTTACTTTTATTTATTTGCATAAAGGAATGCATAACAGAATGAAGAAATAGTATGAGTAATGTTGCCAGATCTGCAACTGTCTCTCGTATACTCCCTCATGTAGCGCTTTGTGCTACCCAAATTGAAACTCAAATATAATGTGTATCAAGATTTGTATGCAGATATTTATAAAGAAGGTGTGCACTATGTTAGGATAAATAATATGTTTTTACCATTAAGGTAAAGGTAAGTTGTCCTTCCCTAAGTTCAACGCTGGATGCAGGAGAAAGGATCGATCACCTTCAGCCTCTTGCCACGTTACCCCTGCTACCTATTGAGTAGAAGGAAAAGTGGACCTCAGAGGCAGTTTGGATGCAGTGGCACAGGAAAAATGCACTGCTACTGGGAATCGAATCCCAGCATTCAAATATGTTTAACATTGGATTTTTTCTCTGCAGTACTTAATATCTCTATGAATATGTCTTGTCAACACTTTATTTGAATCTGGGGTAAATTAACATTGACATCAGTGTTGAGGTGCAGAATTACAAAGAACATATTCAGAACGTGTTAAGTTCATTTATATTTTTGTTAATTTGTGTTGAGAACTTGACGGTGGTGCATTGTTGCAGGCTTCGACTTAAGCAGAACAAGTATCCCGTCTTCTTCCTGACTCAAGGAGTGACAAAAAAATATCCTCCTTACAGGGACCCTCGGACACAAAGTATACCAATGGCTGTGAATTATGCTAATAGTGCTGGAATACTGGTTAGTGAAAGTTGTTGAATTCTTATTTATTTACATATTAATATATCTTTTCTGTAATTTATATGTTTATTTCTTTGTTGATGTTTGGTTGGTTTCTCATGCACCCAAGAATGGTCTTTGATGACCTTTCCTGGCCTCTGTCAACCCTAGGCAGGTCTATAATCCATTTCTGATGTGGGGCACCAATAAGGCAGATTCCTTTACCCCATTGATCATTCTGAAGATGATGACCAGCATATGGGATCTACTGTTTTATTCTGGGCTCTGAACCATGGTAGATGCCTTGTATACTTTAATTTATCACAGTATTATTATCTTTTGCTTCATTGTTGAGCAGAAAAGTCCACACAGATCTGACAGGGAATCAAACCCAGGATTATCCAAATGAGAGGCCAGTGTCTATCCTAAAATCACCAGGTCCCATATTTTTCTGTACTGGATTGTAGTAGGTTCTTAATTGCAGTAATGGTGTTACAAGAAGCTGGGAAATAAGAAGTGATCAACATATGAATATTTGGAAGATGTCTGTTGATTTCTGTATTGTTACGTCTTTCTTTCCATTGTATTTTCATTTACAATTGACATGCCTATTAGAGCCAAAGAAAACTTAGTTACATCATACCATATAAGTAGTTTTATCAGCCTTTATTGTTACCCCAAGTATATGAGAACATTACAAGTGCAGCAAAGTAGTGTAACTGACTTGGTTCTTTGTTTATGCTCACTTTAATTTTCCATTTAGTTGTGTTTCAGTGTTGCTTTAGTGATGAAAATGGCATCTCCATGAAATAACTACAAATAAAGCTCTGAACTCTAAGTCATTTTTAACAGTTCTGTTGTGTTGAGTCATTATATTTATTTTTAGGGTATTAATGCTCATACAGAGGACATTCTGCGTGACTCGACCCAAGTGAAATTGGTGATGGATGCAGGACTTGTCCTCTTCTGTTGGGGCGATGATAATAACAGTCCTTCCACAATCAAGTACCTTAAACATCTTGGCATTCACGGTGTTATTTATGACAAGTATGAAGTATAATTAACCCCTTACTTTACTTACTTTGACAAAGAAGTATAGAACTGAGTCACTATCAGTTTCTCAAGAAGGGCTGTGGTACATTTCATTAGTTAATAAAATATCAAAATTTCCCTCAGTATTCTTCTGCATTCTACTCACACTAAAACTTCTGTTTGCATGGGATTCTGTTCACTATTTTAGATTTGGTGACTGTTTGTGAAGTTTGCCACTTGGTAAAGAGGAAATATATGTTACCTGTTGGTATTTAGATCGGCCTCATTGCATGAAAATCTAAAGGATTATGTAAACCTTTATACTTTCACAGCACATGAATGTTATAAAAATTATTTAGTCATCTGCAACCAGAAATGGTTTGCTGACACCTTGTACCTTCAAGGCTTGAGCTTTCTTCAATATTTACAAAAGTTAAATATTATATTATACAACATCATGTTACATTTGTTTTCCTTGTTGTTATATATACAGTTATAATTTATTAAGGATGTAAAAAACAAACTGAATATTCTAAGAAAGTTTGTACAGTGAGTTGTCAATTAATTTTCATTTACAGAAAATTATTTATATAATATCAAATTAGGTGTATGTGGTATTTGTTTGTTTGTTGTTGTGTTATATATATATATATATATAGTATGAGGTAGTGAGTATGAAGATGGCTGTCTTCTGGGTTGTAGCATTATGTAGTCTGGAGGATGATGATGATGGAGGTAGCAAGGACCTCAGAAATATCAGTAAACTTCTACCAGACTACATGTCACTACAATCCAGAAGATAGCCATCTTCCAAATATTTTTGGTTCCATTGATTATATTTATACCCATTTTATGTGCTCAAATGTTAAAAACCAGAGGAAAAAGAAACAAAGCTGAGTAAACATGACCTCTTCTTTTAATAAATAGGGTTCAGAAACTTGGGTCGACAGCATCCAGAACATTTAGAAATTAATTTTGCAAAATTAATCTGTACTAAAAAGAAACTGTGAATGTCGCAAAGTATGAACAATTTTGTGGTGGTCCTGCTACCTTATCTGTCTTTAATTTTATACACTTATGTATTATGATTGTTTTCCAATCAGGATTGACAAATATAGCTCCAAGGAAGTTAAGGAGAGTATATTTCTGGCTGAAGCGAGGGAGATGCAAAATCACCTGCTTAAAGCAGCAGAGGAAGTACAGGATCCTCCTCAGACACTTGTTTCTCCCATACCGGTGCTTCCAACTGAGGTAAGAATTACATCACTTGTAGAACATGGGTACCAAAGAGGTGAAACATCCCATGAAGCCAGCAATATAATATTTTCTTCGCTGTAATTTCTATTATGAGTTCAGTTATTCATTTTTGTAATGAGAATATAAGAGAATTTGGTCTGATATTTTTATATTTATTTTGCAGGCATTTGAATTTAATGATGTGGAAAATGCTCAAAAGAATCTGTCCAGTACCACATTAGCTTCATTATTGTCCTCATGACCTATCAGCTCACTTACTAATGCATTGCTTAATCGCACTCAGATTTCCACTGGGGGAGGAAATACAAAGGCAAGTTGATGTTGACGCGCGTTACCTGTTTCGCATTCAGAGTAAGATATTCTGTATAAAGCAAAATTAGGAACTTTTGAATTCAAGTTATAAGTATTCAAGCCAAATATATATAAAACAAGAAGTAAATACAAATTTACACACCGCTATTATAATGACGATCAGGATATATACGTAAAAAATACATATTTTGATTGCAATTTTTGGATAGTTTTGAGTCATTTGTATTGCGGAGGTATTATGTTTGAAAGTACTCACATCTGTTGTTTTAAATAATAAATTGCATAGTGTTGCCCTTTCAAATTTAATAAAATATATTGTACTTTACATTGTTTAATCATAAGGTATAGAAAATAACTGTGTTGATCACACGATTCCCAAATTAAAGACAGTCTTATATTTTTATATCAGCATATGTAAGACGACAGCTGTCAAACGTTTGTGCATAATGTGTGTTCATGCACTAACCATGCACCTGAATTCATCTTCCAGTAAGGAAATGGTTATTCTTACGAGATACGACACAGCTCGTTCACATATTTTTGTGTACTTGCTTATGTCTCTTAATTTTCTCTATCATGTCTAAACAGTGTCATTTCTGAAATATAAGCATTTTAACAAGTTCAGTCTCTAGACGCTGCGATAGATTAATTTTAATATATAGCATTTTGTTAAATGTCAGCCATAATCTTTTCAGCACTTTTGACTGTAAGTACAAAGTAGTGGTAAATTTTTAAGGTTATGTTAGGTTATATTGTAAGTTTAATGATATCATATATAAAATAGGGATTGCTAGCAATATGCATGCAGGCAGCAAGGTGACCAGAAGTGCTTTTGAGTGGCCACTAGAACTTATGTGTAAGTCGACAGCTCAGTAAGTGCTTATGTCTTATGGTTTCCTATATTTAGGTTAGGGTTGAAATATGGAAAAATGCTCACTTAGCACAGGCTTATTAATGGGCCTTTAATCATAAATAATTGTTTTTAAATTTGTGGTGGGGGGGGGGGTTAAAGCACATAGTGTCTGTTTTGAATTGAATTTTACTTTTGGTTCCCCCCCAAAAAATTGCAACTCTGATATTTTATATGAAAATAGTGCATCTATGGTTTATCCCTTGCATAGATGATAAACAGGAAGTTGACAGTTGTCAGTATTATGAAAGTAAAACATCCATTTCCTGTTTGCTATTGCATTATTTAAAATTGTTTGTCAAGTATATTGTTTGAATTTTCTGATGATGGTGTGACTTTAACATGGAATAGGAGTCTTAAAAATTATTTTGTATTATTTTATTATGGTGGACAGGGTCGTGAATGTTTTATTTCTGGTAAATATTTGTTGTGTTGTGACAGTATTCATGTAAGAATGACTTTACAATAAAAGTATATAATGTGATATTAGAAACTACTTGATTTACTTGAGTTGATTTAACTTTTATGTCTGTCATATGCCAAATCTAGTCTTTCCTCACCCTTTCCCAAAAAGAGTTATCTCATATCAAGAAAGTGTCCTCAAAGGAGACATGTTTTTTTGCCAAAAAAACGTTAAAAAATCTGCGTGTTATTAGCAGCAATGACGCACCTGTAAGAATGATTATGTCTAAATGTACTATTTACGCTGAAAATAGAAAATGCACTTATTTACTTTGTGGACAAAATTGTAGCAGCAGTGCCCTTGATAGAATGACAGTTGATATTGCTCTTGAAATAAAGCGTCAAGATGTCATGCATAAGAATAGTCAAATTAATAAGTTGCATTGTCAAGTTTCATGGGGCCTTTCAAGTTTGTTACAGGCTAAGCAACGATAAAGCGAGTGATTATGTGAGGTGATGGGGGAACAGCAGTAATTTAGCAATTATGATAACTAATCACTTCGCCATTCGTTTGGAGGAACATAAACGTTGTGAAACACCATAGTGAAAGCAGCTCATGTCTTTATCAGTGATATGAGGTCCGTAACGGCCATCGGAATTTGCGAAACATTTGCAGAAACTTTTGTCACTTTACCATAAAATAATAAATAAATGCAATAAAAATAACTTCATTTGAAATAAGAGATATTTCCGTACAATGTTCTGAAATATAATTTCAGTTATTACCAAAGACTCTAGCGCCAAAAATACTTCGTGCTGTTTTCTGTTTATAACAGTCACACAGATGTTCAGTGCTCAGTGATAATTCTGCTCATATTTTATTATTTATTTAGTGTTCTGTCTGACGACAGGTCCATATGAACAGGATCCTTCCATCCTTTTCTCGGACTGGGACCTGTTCATATACGTTCTTGGCAGATGATCCAGAAGTGGTTTGCCATTGCCTTCTTCTGTGTGTGAATGGAGTAATTGTTGGGATGCCACGGAGAAACCGGGAAGCTCAGTGTTGCCTAGACCACGGCCTTGCCCAACACAAGTTATAAATTCGGGCACCGCCGGGAATCGAACCCGAGACCCCAGGATTACAAGGCCAGCGTTCTAACCGCTAGACCAATGTGGCGCTAATTCTGCTCATACATAGTTTTTAATTCATAATTACTATGGACTCGGCTCATTGCGCCACTCGCTTGCTTCAGGAGTTTCTTGTTTAAATTCGGGGTTGTATGTGTCGTACGAAAACTGCAGGCGAACTACTTGGATCGTGAGAGACGGTTAACTCCGAGTTTGGGCTTTGTAACATTGAATGCGGAAGACAAGATGGAAATAGCATGGGAAAACTGTCTGAGCATGTATTGTGTAACGCAAAAAAAAATATATCCATTTTAATTTCGACACATTCATTGTCATTGAGACACAGCGACTTTTACACAACACCGTATTTTATAATAATTTCACATCCGTTCGCACAAGGAAGCGACTGGTTTATCTTTCCGTGTGTGTTATCATTTCGTGGTCTTCCGCTCGCTACCACGTGTGAATTGTAATGGACAACAAAGCTCGAAGTTATTTTGCGTCTACTGTAGAATCGCCATTAGTTTCCTAGAACTGAAATGTCACCCACACACCAAGTTGTTTGTCAACTGCAATTTGCCTTTGCTTATTTGATTTCACAAATTAAATTATATTACTTTGTGTATAACCATTCAACATTTCCACAAAAATCGTTAGTGCCCAGAACAGGAAACGACAATCAAAAGTCGTTTGCAGCCCTTTGCTATAATCGTTTCCTCCCCCGTGTGCATTTCAGGTATGCTAATGCGTTAAAGCAGCGTTTCTCAGCCTATGGTACACGTACCACTAGTGGTACGCGATCCAATTTTGAGTGGTGCGCGAACTAAGTAAGAAAATCAAAAGATAATATTAACATAAATAAGTTTTCCCTGAACGCATTTGGTCAGTGGTATATTTAATGTGTTAAAATAGAATTAGTGATACGCCAGCGAAAAAGGGTGAGAATCCCTGCTTTAGAGTATTTAAAACTCCAAGCCTTGTGTAAGATTCACTCTTCCTTATCCAACAAAAAATGTTTCCCTTAATTTTATTCCATAATAATTGTGGTACTATAAATATATTAGATATTAATTACATTCAGTATAAATTTATATACATTATCCGCCGTTTCTGACGTCCGCCACAGAGCATTGACTATGTGTTATCATCCTAATTACATAAATTCCTTGATTTAGTACCTTGTTTGTTTGCTTTGTTTGCGTGTCCTTTTAGCGTACTTGACTTAAATGAATTGCATTATTATTCCAGTCAAACTGATATATATTCAGCAGCAAGTTGCCTTTGTGTATAACTTTCTCTACACTCCGTAATGTTTTGACAATCTGTTTGTTGTTATTTTGTTATGTTTATTATTGTGTTCTTGTCTTGTGCTGTATCTGTAATTGGCCTTGTGGCTGTTGATGCAGAAAACTAATAATAAGGAATTGAATTTAATTGAATTACTAGTATCAATCAAAATCAGTTTGTTCAGTGTGGCGCTGTATCGTTGTACACGGCCAGAACCCCGACAGAAAAAACCCGCTCTATATCTGGTCAAGGACTGATGAAGAGGCCAACTTAAGAAGAACAACAAATATTGTTTCGTTTACACACGTGATAGGGGCCTCTGCTTACGTTGCCGAACTGCGTTTGCCTGCAAATTTCAATATAAACTGACTGATAATAGCAACAGTGTTAAAAACAGAAAGCAGGGTGTATTATTTGTTAAGTGCGTGTTTAATTATCGAAGTATTAGCATCTCTTAGGTGCACTTTCAATAATTTACTCTAAAAATATTTGTAGGAAATAATCGGCGAGGTATTTCTTTTGCCAACACTACTTAACCACTGTATTCCTGTGGCGTTGGGGCGCATGTGCAAACGGCTGACATCGCAGAATGGAAGAGGGTTGGGGGACAGGAGAGAGTGGTAATAGTTCAGGAGCTAGTCAGTTCCTTATGGGCTAGCGAAGAGGCCGGTGGTGTTCCTTATTTCGATTAGCCAACACAAGGTTCTTGTCAATTTTCTTTCTTAAATCGGACTACTTGCTTCTATGTTTCACCGTAAACATATGAACTGTCTAGTGAAGGGCGATGTATGAAACCATAACACGACGGGATATTTTTATCAAATCAATTGTTTTAAAGGACCGAAAAATGGACTTGCTTTCAGAAAAGAAACTTTAATAGTTTCTACGTGTATTTTGATATTTTATACTAATCTGTCTTTATAAAGCATCGGCCTGTTTCCAGAACGAGAGAATTAGGTTGTTAATCACAGTCTATACATTTTGTGTACTGTAATCTCATTAGTTACATTTTGAACAGAAAGTTGAGTATAAGAATATTTTTGTACAGTGCTAGGAGGGGAAAGTGTCTGTGATGCTTCTGCCGAAGTGATGTAATTTGCTGGTTTGTTATGAAGTAATAGTCGCTTTCGAAATATTAACAGTAATTTCGAGCTTGTTATGTCAGCTACATATTAGATATGGGACAGCAGTAAAAATGAAAATTGTTTTATGAAACAGCAAGTGAAGTTGATACTGAACATGGCTCAAAGAAGGACATATTCGCCAGTCTAGGTCTTCAACTAGCCACGGAAGCAGTGATTAGCTGTCACCATGCCAGGCATTGTCGTGTTCAAGAGGCGGTGGAGTGTCGGAAGTGATGACCTTGTGGTACCAGGTGTTTTTCTCTTCGTTCTCCATCTAATATGGTGAGCCACCCTTTGAGCATTTAACATAGTCGACCATTTGGATTTAGAAACACGTACGGGCCTTAAAGCAGTGACTGCCAACCTTCATTTCGCGAGTTTTCACTACAAACACTATCAACAATTCATGCATGCATGCATGTATGTGTGTATTTATATGTATGCTTGCATACACACTCAAAGGCCGGCATTATTTCTTGATAAGTGCATGCGTACATTAATATTGGCCTCCTAGAAAGGATATCGCAATGTATAACAGAATCAACAAGATTTTTTGCACAGGATAAGGTTAAATTCTACTTACATTAACCTATGTACAGCTTTTCCAAATTCTGTATAACCTAAAAATTAGAAGAAAGCGGTTATGCATTACTCGACTGAAATATTGATTGTTGGTATGATAGGTTTTTCTTCTTTTGCTTCCGGAGACGGACTGTCACAAATAAATGCTTATTTAAAGTTTAGAAATTACAAATACAGTGAATACAAATAACTTGCTTTGTGGAAATTATCCAGACGGTCAGGTAATAAGGGAAGATGACAGTCTTCTGTCTTTGTACTCGCTGCCGTGAGAACCTGAAATATCACTAACAGTGTTGACAACTGCTATTTTACTCTGTTTGAATAAACAGTACATTGTTAAGGAAATAATACAGATCTCTTTTTACGAAAATGATAAGTAGCGTAACTGTTTATCTGAACAGTATTGTTTTCAAATGTCAAATGCAGGCCATTTTGATGCCTTTATTTGACTACAAGGCGCGTTAGGGACAGTACACGTCAAGCCCAGCGGGACTCGTCACGTGTACAAGAGCAGATGTATACGTATCAGTGCAGAATACGGAATTATGCTTTGAAGAAAAGATGGGATGTGTCTGGAAATATATAACTAAGACAATGAAGTAATGTTATGAATAAGTAAAATTTTCAAACCTGTCTTATTCTTGAAATTTATAGGATTGTACGTATATAAAGAATGCTACGTTTTTCTCCCTATGTTCAGTTGTAATACAAACCTTCCACAGTGAAGTTAACTAACTCCATGTAGAGGAAATTTTGTGGAAAGTGGCCACCTGGAAGAGTATAACGTCTGTATATCGGTTGAGACATTGTATATTGGTTTGATCTGGATCATGATAATGTGTAGTGCTGTAGATTTTTCATTGGAAATGTTGAGCTTTCCTTTGCTACGTGTTGACCCTCCCGTCGAAGAAGAAAACTTTAATATGTCTAAGAGATTTCATAATTTCAGAAGTAATTTTGAATTGGAAGGACTCAAGGCTTAATCGGTAAAGGGTAGAAGAATTTAGAAGTTTCAGGATGTATCAAATTAAAGTACATGAAGATTACTGTCTTCTGGTATGTTGTGCCGTGTAGTCGTACAGAAATATACAGACGTTTCAGAGGTGCTTACTGCTTCCATCATCACGGTATCATTCCACAAGACAGTTCTATTCATACTCGTCGCCGTGAGAACCTAAAATTGAAGTGCATATCGTACATCGTTCGTGCATGCGAACATTGGCGTATCCGTGAGGAGACGCCATCTGCTTAATCCTATAGCGGTTCTGTTGTAAGCTAATCTAAGCTAAATGACTTGAGGCCTCATAATGGTCTGACCCAGCAACGTAACTTGAAGGAACTAATTCCCGGGCCTGCATTTTAATAATTACTTTTGTATTACGTCATATATATTGGTTTTTATTCCGAACTGTTTCATTGATTTGGCGCGTCTTCCAAGTTCTGGAAAAAAAGCAACCTTTTCCACCCTTAGATATAGAAAGACGCATTAACCATTACTGTTAGAACGTTATTTATGTTGATGGCGGTGATTGTGGTAGTAACAACAGTAGGATTGTTGCCAGATAAACAGATATGTTATTGTGTTGTAATGGATAATGTCGAAATATGGCTTCCATGTTAATGGAAAGTGGGGGGGGGCGTAATATTTTAATACGGAAATTAATAAGAAGTTTTTCAGACACGGTAAAGTTCATATCTTGGTATAAGGAATTTCTTTCTTCAGCATCGCGAAAACCATGGGTTTGTTAATTTACCCAAGTTGATAACTGAAATTGATGTTCTCAGAATTAGTACAGAACACAATTTGACGTTCTGGGTTTCAAACCATGTAAAAATTGATAGGACACAACAGTTAACAATAAACAGACAAATCACAGCAAGAACGATGCAAGTACATAAATTGAAATTTTAAACTCATAATATCTATTAAATTAAAAAAGAATCTAATTATATAATTAACTGAAACTGTGAATATTTCTAAGTCGAAACACTTTCTTATTGTGTGATTTATTTATATTTGGCGGGATAGAACTGTAAATTAGATTACAACCGCTTTCTTTCATACTCCATTCTTTTTATAGCAGGAAATAACGCACGTTCCTCACTTTTTGAATCAATAGTTTGCAATGAAGCATGAAAGACAAACAAACGTGCTCTGTAAAGTGTAACGACTGACGTCTACTGAAGTCTGTCACTTGTCAGTAGTATTGTATAATAATTTATTCCAGCCTGAAGGTTTCTTTCTATTTTCACAACATAGAAATTGAGCCTATTCCATGATCCAAGTATTATTGTAAATTATGTAAAATTAGAAATGTAACGGAGGTGTGTGAACGAAAGGTTTTCACGCCATATTGAATTAAAATCATTAGTGCGTAATAGACAGGGACACACAGAGCCTTCACACGCCTTTGTTTGACTGTACTGACTATCTGTTTCACCAACAGATATACGCATTAATCATTTACTTATACGTACACCAACGCCTGTGTTGTGAGAAATTATTTTACGATAACACATCATTTTATGAGATTATACAGCGTTGAAAGACATACGGTATATTAATTGTCTGTGAAAAGGTAGAATGTACATTACGCATGGCGGGTGGGACAAAATTCAATTTTGCTCGAGACCTACGAAAAATGTATATTTGAAGTCGCAAATTCTGTTGGCGTGTAAGCTCTTGTGCATAACCTGTTGGGGGTGCCTTACAACTTCGCTTCCGTTCCGTGTACGCTGAGTACTGACAGTCTCTCTCTCTCTTTCACTGATGCCCGTTTGCGTGAACACAAGAAAATCAAGGACCCTTCTCATTGGACGTTTGGGCGACTTGTTTCATAGGTAAAAGCGGAACCTGTGCTTCCTACGTCATCAGGCTTAGGACTGTCTCGTATCCCGAAGTTCGACATCGTTACATTTGGATTCAGGTGTCGGAAGTTGGGCCAGGTTTTGTTTGATTTGGGTAGGTTAGATGAATTGTGTTTGGGCGTCGCGACGCTCGCAGTCGGTTTGCTAACATCGTGCTTAAGGCGTCCCGAGTCTCGCTCCGCCTTATTATGAATGACGTCACGACGTTCGGCGTCTGTTTGTCGGCGTCTTTTCTTATGCCATCCGGAGGTTCGAGTTCACTTGCTTCGTATTGTTGCTTAGATAAGTCCTCAAATCGCCCCGACGACCTTTCCTTCTGTCGCCAAAACTTCAAAGACCCCAACCTCTTGGGTTTCTGGCTGTGTTATTCTTGCAGCTCCGCTGATTTTGATGATGGGTTCTCGGTGTCTTGAACCAAGCTCACTCCGGATTAAAATCTTATCGTACGATGTTAGTGTATGATGGAATGTTTTTTTCTTTGACATTTCTCTCTTATCTCAAGTAAAACGCAATGTATCTTCATTACAAACACCGGGTGGTTAAATACCTTTACGGAATGAGTTACTAAAGGCTGTGTATTCCATAATAAAACAACATTATTGAAGTATTATGGTAAAAACTATGCACGCACGCTCCATTAAGACACGGCCTATCATGACAGCAGCCACAGTGATGGATAGTCCTATTTAAGATACGTGGGTATGGGCGATTAGATTGTTCTATTGATTGTTGTGTTATTCAACTACGCTGTTTCTGCTGCAGAGGAAATCCCGATATACTTACTATACCATCGAAAGAGATACTAATTTGATTATGAACGTTGAGTACATTTATTTCAAGGCAGATAGAGAATGACGGGTATAACTGAGAAGACTTGTACTTCTGATGGCCGGTAACGCGACCGTGGTCCGATCTGAAGTAAAATTTTGTAACGTTATTAACGCAGTGCTCCTCCATAAGTGCTGGGTGAATTGACAGGTGGAAGGTATCTGATAGGAAGAAAATCAGACATATATATGGTACATAGACGTGTTCCCTCCCACTCTTGATATTTAAATAAGCGGTATCAACTTTAGAGATGAAGCTAATTAAACATTAGAGCAGAAATACCAAAATTAACGTTTAAAAATTATCTTAACTTTTTGATAACGGTAGGCGTATTAGTGGAGAGTATTATTATTAATAATATTAATAATAATTATAATTGAATTATTAAACTGAGCTTTGATCTCTCAGATCCTGAGATCGTGGGTTCGAATTTTTTTTCTTTTTGTGTTGTGCTGTTTGTGTAGGTAGAGGTCTTAAGACGGGCTGATGACTCGTTCAAGGTGTTGTGCCAAATATCTAAATAGCTTAAGAAACCTGCCACATGTGACGCCATCTCCTGGTAGAGCGGTGAGATAAGGTGGCACGTTAATTGTCCAGGTTACGGAATTAATTAATTACTGCAGAAAGCTCATTAGGGAATTGCACACCCGTCAGACCTGTGTTAATATTTGACATGTGTAGAATATTGTACATTTCCATTCGTAATTAATTTTAGGAGCAGATGCTGCGAGTCATTTGGGCCTAATTAGAGTTCGAAGGCAGAATAATTATCAATTTCCTTCGATATCCTTTTCACATTAAAGTTTTGTCTCACACGTGGTAACAGTTGATAACAGTCAGGATGTGACGAATTAATATACAGGGTGAGTCAGAAGTATGTTTACAAAGTTTATGTGCGTGTTCCAGGATCAAAAATAAGAAAAAAATGTTCCTATGAACATGGGTCGCAAATGTTTCATAACGACGTTTACCGTCTTGAACACAGAATTAACAGAGCTTTTGTG